GGAAAGAATAGTTTTCTGCCTTTGTAGTGTTGCTTTGTGGAAAACAGAGATGATAGGACTCCTACTTGTTATAAACCCTCATTGACACACAGCTCCACTGTCACTGTTCTTGAGATGCTCCTACATTTTCATCATCACTTCTTAAGGTGTGAAGTCTGTTCCTGGTCTCCAGTAAAATTAGGAAGGCTTTGGCTCTCCAAGTGTGACTGGCAATTCACAGAGGTGACAGCTACCTGCTTTTGTTGCTTCACAGCTTCACAGCCTTCATGTGCCACAGTCAACCTGCCTTGCCAGTGCTTCCATATCACCTGCCTCCCCTCAGATTTCCAGTGAGGACTTTCCATAGCAGGCCCAGTACTACACTACATGTCCCATCTCCTCAAACGACACTGACACAGACTTGGGTGCCATTTAGAAATTCATGTAGGGAGGGTGTGAGAAAGACCTGGCAGCAATGACTGTCCCTTCTAAATTCTGGTCATGCAGTCACAGTTTGCAGTATTGTATAAATCCTTAATCAAAGGAAAATCATTCTCTGCTGCATGTTAATCTTAATCTTCTAAGTATCGAAATGCCTGCATTAAGTCCATGAAACTGATTGAACTAAATCAGTATTTAGGACAGTAAATTTATATTAAAAAAATGTGAGCAAGTACCTATTATTATGTAACCTCTAACTCATTTAAAGTAGCATTACAAACCTTCCTCTTTAATTGACTCTCTGTACCTCACTGACTTGATATCTTAAATATCCTTCTATTTATTTTGTCCTGTGGAACTTATTCTTACACATGTAAATTGCTAGAGGCATGTTACCAGCTTCAGTCCTCACCTTTGATCCATTCTTAGTTTGGGTGCGACTTAATGGGTTCTAAATTTGTGCCAGTATAAACTGAACATCACTTATTGTGACTGAATTTTTCTCACTGCCTTTTAAAAATGTGTAAAGAAATAATCCCAGGTTCAGCAAAGCATTCACATTTATCTGATATTTCATGGATTTAGAATTCATCTTTGCAAAAAAATCTTTTGCATCTGCAGGGCATCCTGAGCCTACCTTTAAGCATCAAAGAGACTCAATAGCAGTTGCCAATAGCATAATGGCTGCTGCCTGTATGGACACCTATTCTGACAGTGAAGGTTACTGACTGCTAAAATTTAGTCCTCTGCAGGTGTCCTTGACTGATGCTTCAAACTGCTACATGTCAATGGACTCCAGAATTCATATGGTGCCTCAGAGAAATGTCCCCTTTTTCCACATTCACTGACTGCGTTATCATCTCAATGTTGACTGTTATGCCACAGTCTGTTCTCAATTCTACCACCATCTGTGTGACCCATTTAAATGGGTCAGGCTGAAAATAATTTTAGTCAACACAGCTAATATACACTTTACCAACTTAATATTATCTCTTTGCAGAGAATAACATTCCATATGAAGAATAATTACAGGTCTACATTCTTTCCATTAAAATAAACTAAAGCCTTATTAGTTATGAAATAATTTTAATTTTATTTTTCTATATTTTTAATACACATATATGTGTACATAAGTGTATACACACATAGGATTTCCACATTTATTACTCAGAATTGGTCACGTGGTTACACTACCAGACTGATTCCCATCGTGCTGCGCACTGTACTCACATAACATAATGAAGTTCCCTGTTTCAAAGATGGAACAAGAGGAGTAAAAGATGCCTGAGAGAAAGAAGAAAGAAAGGAAGAAATAAAGAAAGATATTTTGGTAAAGTGTATTCACATCTCACAATTTCAGGCATTCTACATTCACTGGCCAAGTCAGTATTTACTGGCCAGGCCCCTGTTATCCTCTTTGGTGCATGGAGAATATATGTTTCTGCCCCAAATGACCTTCTGGAGAAGCTCACCTTAATAAGCATGACCCGGCTCCTAACAAAACCTATTTTTATCCATTGATTGTACAGATAAACCTAAGAGACTCATTATCTTAATTAACTGGATAAATCAGATGACTAAGAGGGAGGACAGGAGGGAGTGGTACATGGATACACCTAAGAAAACACATATAATAGGAAGTATATAATAGTTGATCACAAAGGTAGAAGCACAGATGTCAGCTTGCTGTTATCAGCTTATACTTTACAGTATTTATTATCACACTGCTGTGTTTTGAGGAGTGGCTGAAAGAACTTTGTAATTTATAGGTATCAACTTCAAAACTTTTTCCAAGCTTAAGTGGGAGCATAGAAGAAAATATAATTTGTGCAACAGAGAACAGGTGACCAAGGTGACAACACTGTCAGTGCAAAGGGCAAAATTATGTTTGCTAGATAATAAACCCGTCAGAGAAGATGGGGCAAATTGTGGAAAGGAAGCTTTGAAAAGTATAGAAATTCATAGTAAGAGGTATTCATTGGTAAGGGTAAGTGTTAAGGAAAATCCAAGAGTTTCATGGATTACCTTAGAGTTAAGGTAATCCATGAAAATTTGTCTGTAAAAGCAGCATTTTTAATAGATAAAAGCACTGAGTCAATATTACAGTATTTAGAGTTGTAGGCTATCAGAGCTTGGATCTGAATTCTGAAAGTCTGGAGTGAAAGGCGAGGTCTTAGAGATAGGAACTAATCAGCAGGAAATTTTAGGGGCAGCCTGAGAGTATAAAACGAAGACAAAGGTGATACTAGAATCACAATCCTGAAGAGATTGGAGAGAATGAGGTCATGGAAGGGAATGAGGAAGAAGGGAGGTTTTCAGTCAGACGTTGAAAGAGCAGCTACAATGCGGTTACTGGTTTAACATTTATCATCAATTACCAGAAAAAGAGGTCATGGCTTTAATTTACCATTGAAGAAACAAACTCAGAGGAGCAGGTTTGTAAGTCATGAGAACAAGGACGGCACTCCCAGCCACACCTGAAAATGAAAAGCCATGGGGACAGACAAAAAGGAGAGTGCCACAGTGGGCCCCGAGACACTGCCTCTGCAAGGCAGAACCTGGCAAAGTCCCTGTAGCAGCATCTTGGTATATCTCACATGAACCAACTCATGTCCGTGGATCTGGTTAGTGAATAAGAAACCATCCAGAGAAATCAAAGGATTTTCTTTTTCTTCAAAATGCAGTATTTCTAAATTTTTCTAATACCTGACACCAGAAAAATTAAACATGTCAATAAATACTCCTCTGTGAAGTCTAAAACTTCAGGATTGTAAAAGGAGGAGGAGCAGGAAAGTAAAGTGGGTGGACAAAAGGAAAAAGAATATTACGAGGCAAAAGTTAACTGTGACACTTAAAAGCTCCATCATTTTCCTTAATCCATTATAACATCAAGTGAATAAAACAAGTGTGTGAGGTGAATTTTTACATTGGCATAAATATATCTTTCATTGCTATCCATAGAATAGTATAGGAAGTTAAAGGAGGTATTTTAAATAAGTATTTCGTTAAGTCTATATTCACTCATGTTTCTTGCATGTTACATATTCAGAATAATTAAAACTCAGGACTTTTCACCAAAATCTTTCATTTCTCTTCTAAAATGGAAGTAAGATCTTTGCACAAATGATATCTATAATGATAATGATAATTAGTAGCAAAGCCACCACAGAATGTTAAGCATACGGTATCTTAAACTATTCCTGGACATGTGCCTTTCAACAAAGGGTCCTGTCACCATTAACTCAGTCCCTGCAGGAAGTACTGCTGCAAATATTCTTACTAACTATTCACTACTCATTTCTTTTCTGAATTTTGGTGGGTTTTCTATATATGGTTAGACTCTCAGGTTCAAAAATTACCTCTTACTTCAGCTGTCTCATCTGCTTAGTGTAATCAAATTAATTCCCTTCTTAACATCACTTTTAAAACACATTTATCAGTACAACAGTAAAATCCTGTAAAGCAAGCATTTTTCTTAAATATGCCCCATTAAAAGGCTGATGAATCAAATAGAGTTAATATATGAATGTTAAAAACTACTACTTACAGGTAAAATTAAAGAACATCTACATTTCCATCAAAACCTGACATAATTTACCCCTGGCATAAGCAGAAAATAATCCATTTGCTCACAGAGAGCAATAATTGCTAAGACCAGAAGTGTTCTTATTTCATATTAAGTATTTCTTAATAAATTGTCTTAGAGCAATAAGATTTCTCATTTCAAAATAAATTTTAAAATGTGCTTACCTTATAAAAATTCCACACTGCAAGAGATGAACTAGAAAAATCCATTTTGGCTTCCCAGTATCAGTACCTTCCCAGTCATTTTTAAACCACTCATAACTGAATATCTGAGTTATTAGTGATGAAAGACCTCTAAAACACAGTATCAATATACTCCAAGAATATTGTCCTTGACAAAAATATTTACTAGCTACCCAGAAGTCTACTCCAATGTCAACTACATAAATTATAATTCCACCAACTAAAAAAATAAAATTCTGCTTAGTAAATTTCATCATGCATTAAACTGCCACTGTTATTCTTTTCTCCTCACTTCATGTAAAGGAAAGTCAGAATTAATCTAAATGCTTTCCTACAATGGACTCTTTTTCCTGATGATACCACCTGCTCATAGTGCTTTATGCAAAGGAAAGTTGGGTTACGCATTTTTATGGCAAAGGGACTTGCATTTTTCTGTATTCTTGATTTAAATATTAAATTAACTGCACTGATACACATCTATTCTGGAAAAGATAAATGTAAATTGTCTTTTTAATTGGTGGAGTCATTCTTCATTACTAAATGAGGTTCCTAAAAAGAAGAAGAAGAAAAAAGAAAGATTAGCAGTAATTTTCTTCTGAAGTATCATACAGTCGATTGTTTAAACAAGCAAGTACAAAATGCAGAATGTACTGAGATATCAGTGAGCAATAATAAGCCTGAGAGAAGCTGCATTTCAGAACCTGCTGCGGTCACCCACTCTCCCAACCACAGTGACTCTTCACTTACCAAGCAGCTGTTGAGATAGTTCCTAATAGTTGCAAAAGACTAAGAAACAAACTTACCTCTACTAGTTTTTAAAACCAGTTTATGGGAAAAAAGATCTATTCCTTCCCAGAACTTTCTTAACTTCTGAGCTCTTCTCCCTTACTGTGCACAGTGCAAAACACTGAGAAAAATCCTGTCTTGAGTACACATCATTGTATCAGAGTGTACATCATTACTCCATTTCCAACTGTGTTACCGTATTTGTGTCCATATGCCTAGTGGTTTTATAATTTCTGTGTCTTGTTTTATAATTTTAAAATTTCTGTGTCTTGTTCTATAATTTTATAATTACTGTGTCCATACGCCTAATGGTTTTATAATATCTGTTTGTTCTTCCATATGCAGCACAGAAGTGCTGAATAGGATTGCAGCTCTCCTGTTAAAGAGACTCGTAAGGACCCAGACCTGAAGCAGCCTCCACCTCTTTGGGAAATGCCTCCCTAGCTGTGTGAGTAGCAGCTACACACAGATGGTCTAAACACACTGTCTACTACAAACAACATTAATTTGCAGTCTGAACTACATTTATATTGCCTAACCTTGCAAGGATTCTTGTGACCTCTTTGAATAGTCCTTACACTTCTTTTCTCTGTAGATCTGTGGTATTTGCCAGGTGAAACAGAAAAGCTGTAAGGTAGTATGTTCTTTGCCTCATTCATTTCCCCCTCTGCAAAGCTATACGTATAAGTCCCTTATTTCACCTGCATATCTTAGGAGAAAGCTGCTGGCAGCCATCCCAAAGGATGGGATGCAGGACATGCCAAAACACCAGGTTCAGGCTGGTGCCACTGCCAAACAGCAGCAGACAAGACACAGGAACAGCTGTGCCTGGCAACTCGGAGCAAGGGAAGGGCACGCAGAGGGAGGTGAGGGAGGTCTCCTTTGGATTTCTGTGAATTTAGGCACACTGCCACAGAGGAATGAAATGAGACAATGGGTTAATATCCCATGAACAAAGACAATGACTATTCTTTGCTTGTGTTGACTGGGCTAGTCTATGGCGTGACCCAGGTACAAATCCAAAAAAGAGCACTTAACCTTGTTATTTCCCAGTGAAGACAAGTGGGAACATAACTGCCTAAAAAAATGGTGCTGAGTGTCTAAACATTATTTTTTTGGATCTAGGCCTTAGCTATTTCTAGCCTCTTGTTCTGTCTCCTACGTAGGTTTCATGTCCTGGCCCCAAAGAGGTCAGAAAGATCAGGCAATCTTACAGTTAGGATAGCTGGAATCCTTTCACTGTCCTTTCCTATCCTCTCCAATAAAATACCACTAATCTCTTCCAAATCACTAATTTATATCCAATTCACAGTCAGATTCGGGGAAGTGGACTTGGGTACAAAGTCCAGCATAAACTGAACTTTGTGTTCACAAATGTTTCATGTATGAAAACTCGTGTATGAACCAACTTAAGAGTTTATTACTAGAGTTCATTCAAGAAAATTCCAAAGGAAATTGTATTTACTCTATATAAGAACATCAAGTAATTTTGGAACTTGATGCACCACCATTATCAAGCTGTATCCTTTTTTGTGACAAGAGCATTGTGCATGGTTTTTAGAACAGATTAAAAAAAATAGCCCCAAAACCCAAACAGGTTCACTATTTGACTATTGCAGGAAACATAACAGTAAAAGGTAGGTCAATAACTGGATCCAAACAGAAAGTTCTTTGGACAGGCAATTTATGGCCGAAGTAGGCAGTATACCAAGGTTCACATTTAATGAGTAATACTGTACTAGACATTTGAGTGTCAAAGAGTAGCCTCTAATTTTGTGCCTGAAATGAATAAATAGGGTAACTGGATTCCTTCTTCTTTACAACCTCTCTATCCTTCTGTATCTGAGCACTTCACAAAGAGGAATTATTTCATCATCATACTATCCCTAATAAGAAAGGAAGTTTACAGGCTATGTCCAGACTCCTCTAAAGCAGCAGCATGAAGAGTAGTTGTGAGCCAGCTGATTTCTACTTCTAACATGCATACTGTCCAAACTGCTGCCATAGCCACAACCTGCAGACCTGGCTGGACATCTTGGTGGTATATGAAGCCATCAGGTAAGCTGAGATAAATGAGGAGCCACATATGATAAAGCATGTCAGCTTGCTCACAGTCTCATAATTATCTTGAACAACGAACTTAGTATTGAAAGAGCCTTGGAATGGCTGGTAAGACACAGGGTTTACATTTTGCTCATGTTAACCTAGAAAAAAAAATATCAGAGACTCACAAATCTGTGTACTTGAATGTCCAGTGTCTTAATTCCAAGACCAAGCAGAAATGCCCGCTCATAGGTGCACAAGACATCTCTGTTGAAGATGTCAGCCATTAATATCCCCTATATTTTATGCATGATAGCACTCCAAAGAGCACCATGGTCTCATGCATCAGGTGGGGTGCAATTAAATGCCACAGAAGATAATGCCTTGTATCACTCAGAATGTTATTGTCCCTGGTCCTATTAAACATATAAGGTCAGGTTGGATGAGGCTCTGAGCAACCTGATCTAGTTGAAGATGTCCCTGCTCACTGCAGGGGGGTTGGACTAGATGACCTTTAAAGGTTCCCTCCAACCCAAACTATTCTATGATTCTATGATCTAACATGACAGGAGCTAGAGAAGTGCAGTGCCTGTCAGCCAACATAACTACAAGCCTTCTCTAAAAACTAAGATACTTTTACAGAAGCATTTTGTGATAAAGCAGAAACAGTAAAATGGGATTAGAAAGGCCCTCAATACATTTAAAATGCTGTTACAAAATGCAGGCTTACCTTAATACTCGCCACGGATAGACATTTTTCACTTTAAAAAATAGTAGATTTGCATATTCGCCGGTTTCTGATCCATACTTTTACAAGACTTGCAATCCGGTAAAAGTTAAATGGCTTACTGATAAAACACAAACTGAAACTAAAATCGTGTGAACCATGTGACACAGTTAATGATTTGCTACCTGTCAAGAACTGTCATTCTTATGAATATACCATAAAAATCCTATTCTAAAAATTCTGTTTAGCAGTATCTGTCTATATTTAACACTATGTTTAATATATTATAAAATTCCCTTCAATAATTTAATTTCACACTTTATTCCATAAAAGTTAAAAAACAAAGTAATGCTTTCCCTCCCTATGTGTATATTTGTGTACTTATTTTCAAACTTAGAATTTAGTTTGTTAGATTTATTGAGCAAAAGCCAATAGATATTAATGGAAACTTATATGTGAATATGTGCGTGCTTATATGTGTTTGTTTTTATATATATATTAATTTATTTATTTGTGTACACAAATATCAGAGATTTATGAAAAAAGAACAATCTTTTTGGCTATAGTTGAAAACTGTAGTACAATGCATTTAAAATCTATACAAAAAGTTTTGCTATGCAATAATATATGAAGAGAGTGCATGTGTCCAGGGGCAAGTGATTAATATTGATTTCCTCTGGTAAAACTACAGGTGTTGGCAAGAGTCTGCTCCAGCTGAGCTATCAGCACTCACTACACAATTTTTATGCTACTGAGAAAATCTAGAGCATGTTTAAAGGAGCTGCAGGGTACAAGGAGCAGCTGTTCTGATTCAGCCTCTATGACTGGTGCACAGGGTGATGCATGCCCTCAGCCAGAGCAGTCCGCAGCTTTTCTAGTTCTTAGGCCAGGAGATGCAATCCTATCAGTGTCTTCACAGGGAACACAATATCAGTGCTTGCCTCTTTTGTGCTCCCTCTCCCATATATGTTAGAAACATCCTAGTCCTAAGCAGTTCTTTCAGTGCTTGAAATATCATTGTTTTCATGTTATCATTTGAAGAACAGTTAATTTTCCAAAACTAAAAAAATAGTGGCTGAATCGAAAGCAGTACAGCAGAATTCCTGGTTCAATTGGATGTGGTTCATCCCTGCAAGACAATACATTAGGAAAACATCTTAGGACATCACTAGGGCAATGATAACATAACATAACATAACATAACATAACATAACATAACATAACATAACATAACATAACATAACCCATAACAGCCTTCTGAATAGGTGCAGCAGAGGTCTTTCTGCCTGTGTTAAATCTCAGTGATGAGTCAAAGACAATAGGCCTACTGAGTGCATGCCCAACAAGCTCTCCATAATAGCTCTGAGCATCATGAATGCACTAATTAAAAATGTAGTTGTATATTGCTCCACAATAAAACCCTGGTGACTTCAGAAAAGAAGCAGCTCAGCAATTACAATGACAGCTGTTCTGTCCTATAAATGGTCAAATGAATATAAGCACTGTGTTAAAATACAGCTTTTGTAGACAATATTTCTTTCAACATTGCTTTTGCAGCAAACTGAACATCTGATACCAGCATAAACCTACGGAATCTTTGCCAAGAGAAACAAAAGGGATGCATCACGCTCATTCTGTCTTGTATTCCCCTGCCTTGATTGTTCCACTTGCATAAAATCCACTGGAGTGCACTGGACCACC